CATGTCATACAATTCCTGGACATCAGTCACGTGAATCTAAATTGTATTTAATCCACTTATAAACATCTACATGAAATGTAAATTGAAATGAAATTTTCCTATAAACATGAAAATAAAATTTTTCAAATGATAACTGTTGTGAATTATATTTATCATTATTCTTTAGGGTTTTAAGGCTTTCAGATAGGCTTTAAAATACTTCTAAAGCCATAATTGTATTTTATATTTGCTTTATGAACACAATATGTATTTATCATCATTTTTGTTTCTTCACATAAAATAAAATCTCACTATGTTTTTACCATATGTGATATATTTGATATATTACTAAACATGCTCCTTTATACCATAAAAAGCCAAAAGTAAAGATAACCTTCTTCTAGAACAGTTGCATCAGGTTCTCCTAACTTAAAAAAATAAATTTGCTTGATAAACTCCATATTTTTTCAATGACAGCACAAATTCAAAACACTACATCTTGGGACCAGCTGGGATATTAAAAAGACAATATATTCACCTCTGCCATCCTGCCATCCTCAAAGTGGATTCAGTTATCCAAATCTAACGTAGCTTCTACACTGCTGTATTTCCTGTGCTGAGATGACTTAAAAAACAATTTTACAGTCTAGAAATCACCATGTGTTTTGATTCTAAAATATCAAGAGATCACATAAATCTGCAGCTTTCAACTCCAATTATTTAAATGTATTTGAATTACTGATGTGCACTGTTAGGAATTTAGCAAATCATAAGTCACATCAAGGGCATAGGTAACTATTACATCCTGAGTTTGATCACCAGCATCATGTGCTCCCCCATTGTGTCTCCTTTCTTGGAAAATGCTACAAAGTCACCATCAATAAAAGTGTTAGCAATTGTGCCACCACCATGTGCCAAGAATAGGGTCCTTGGGGTAGAGATACTGCCTGGAATAGGATCCTTATTGCCAACAAGATGGTGAGCAATTGAGGCCCCACATTCCATTTAAATGGTAGTTTTATTGAAACTCTTTTAGTTCCATTATGTCAACTAATTTTCCCAAGAAGCAAAACCCGAAATAGTCCGGGATAGAAAGTTTTACTTTAAAGCAACATCTATTAAAGGAAAAAAGTAAAAGCAGAACTGAGCAGGAGGTTTCTGCCAGCTAACAGGAAACTCTGGCATAACAATCGCTTATAAGAGAAGGCCCATGTTATGTATATCAAACTCCTGTTTGGTCATTGGTGAAGGCCACCCTGAGAAAAACATGAGCGTGACTCAGAGGCTGAAGTGAAAATGAAAGACTTAAATGAGGCTATCTACTCACCATACTGGTCCAAAGGTAGATAGCATTGTCTGTCATAGTAATGCCAAGACCTTGTCAAAAGGTATTCAAGGTTTTTAATTTTGGACCCTGTAGGACATTGACCTGACACCTGTGAGAAAAAAACATTACTAAAATAACCTCTGTTTAAGGTCAAGTCCTTAGCTAAAATAACAATGTAATTCTTGGTCATTCTGGTGCTCTATTAGAGACTGAGAAAAAGTAAGTGTGACAGGTATTTTTCTTTAGCAAAGTGTGCTGATTGTTCTTTAGACAGTTGCTTTCAAGAAGGTGTTTGAAAATTGATTTTGTTTTGGTTTTGTTTTGCTTCTTTTGCAGTAAGTCTTATCTGAGCTCATCTATTACCTTATATATTGCTATGACCATAACTCAGATAAAACATAACGCATTTTCATTTTGTCACTCCATTATTTTTGCAGTAAGTCAATATAATCTGAGGTGAAGCATGCCTTGCTCAGCATTTATTGATCTGTTGGTTTGTTCATTGTTTACATTAAAACACCACTTGTCAGTTCTGGCCGTTTTACAATTATCTTCTCATAGAGGAAATGGCAGCTTCAAAGCCCAAATATGAGTCAATTTCCAAGGCAAGTTACTCTCAAGATGCTGGTAGAAAATGTGCACCCTACTTCCCCTCTCTGGGCGTGAGTGATACGATAACTTGTATTTTCTAGCTGAAAAAGAAAAGACACATCTATCCTAACAAAATACTACTGTCTCCAGCACAATGGAGAGGTATTTTAATTTGCACCACAGTGCATGAGCACACAGTATTAATGTACGTAGTTAGACATTCATAAAGGAAGGGAGCAAAGGAAATCAGACATTGTTAAGCAAAATCAACTAGGGAGCATAAACCTGCTTATTTTGATAGGAAGTTATAATTTCATACACTCCCCCAGGAACCACAGATCTGTTCCCCACAGATAACTGGGGGGATGATATAGAACAATAAAGGGGAGGTAAGCACAGGTGCAGTAGCGGTCAAGATGGTGACCATAGAGAACTGTCAGGTCTAGCTGGGGAAGGAATGGATTGATTGGAAGGCAAAACCATCAGAAGCATGGAAAGCTTGGGAAATTGATAGGTTATTTTGAAAAAGTACCTGGTCTGTTGTAAGCCTGAGATAATATAACCTGAGCCTATAGCTTATAAGAGGCAAATGCCTCCTTCTCTCTCTCTCTCTCTCTCTCTCTCTCTCTCTTTCCATTGGAGAGTGCCATTGGATCATGCACTCTCTTCATAGCAGTTATTCAGGACTAGCAGCTAACTGTGGCCCACCAGCCACAGACTCCAATCACAGGCCCAAGCCAAGGCATAGCCAGGAAAACAAGCTAAGCCAGCCAGATGGTGAGAAAGGCTGGACCGGACTAACCTTGGCATGGTGCAAATTATTGGAACACTGCTGCTGCTTCTCAGCCTAATGAAGATAAGATTGGACTTTTCCCATGGCATGAGGGCTGGAGATGGGACGTTGGAAACCCAGGGGAACTCCTCTGTTATTGCATTTGGTGCCACAAATGAAACTTAATCACTGGACCTCATCCTCCCTTGTGGGTCTCCTGGAATGCTTTCCTTGTGCCACCGAGAGGACCCCACTTCCACAGGCAACAACAGATATACAATAAATGCTAATCACTATTAATATTGGTTCAAATGATCATGAACATATTTGGTCATTAATAGGAATCAATTTTGGTGATGCAAGACGGGGAATGATGAGGGAGGGAGCAACTTTTCCAATACCCACATAAGTTGGTCTTTCAAACTTCTCACTAGGCAGAGAAGAAACAATGCTGAGCTTGACTTCCCAGGTGTGTTCGCTTCTTTCTGTTTACTTTAGGAGTATTCTGCAACCACATTAACTCTCTAAAGTCATGGGAATATTAATATTGAACACTATACTAACATTCTTACTAACTCAGTCTAATCCTCTTTCCTAATTAACTTTTTTATTTTACTATCTACTCTTCTAGAAATCAGTTTAACCTCTATTCCAGTCACGATACTGACCCAAGCATACATTAACCAATTTCTAACTATAGAGACCTCTGCTTCTGGCATCCCTTTTAATAAAAGTGCCCTTTGCTTTTCCCCTTGTATGTGAAATTGATACTAAACTACTCCTGGGCTCAGATCTAAACCTACCTTTTAACGGACTCTCACTGATGAAAATTACCTACCTATAATTCTGTTACCTCCTGTAACAGTTTTAATTATTTTATATGCTTTTCATGTCACTTCCATTCATTAAGTGACTTTTTTAATGTAATTCTTGGAACACACATCACAGCCTATCAGACTAACAGGGTTTGTGTGATCTTTGGTTGGTCCTGTGACTCTCTGAACCTTGGTTTAGAAATTCTAAGCTCCTTTTCAACTCTATAATTCTGTAATTTCATGAGTTTGGCTTTACTTCTTAGCCTGGTATTTTATTCTACAGAATTTTTGGTATCCTCTTAATTAGTTAACTTTGTACATATAGGAACATAATAAATACATGCTAAATCAATGAAAAAAATAATTCATTAATTTAAGGCTTCATTGATTTAGAAAGTATTTTTGCGGTAGAGAAACTTAGTTAAAACATTCACTGATTGTTTATGTTATTGAAAGCCTTGCCCACTGTTCCACTGAGGTTTAAAAGGGACTTGCTAACTTATTTTTATTTCAAAAGAATTTTTGCCAAACAACAGGGTTTCTGTTAGCTACACGCTTACAAACCTGAATGTCATATTTGTTTGAATTGAACATTTAATTTCATAGGCAAGTAATTGTTTTAAATAAGGTAATAATTTCTATTTTTTCACTTTAAAATTCTTTTTGGTCAATTTTTGTAAAGGCTTCTTCTACTAATTGTGCTCAAAACTACTATAAAAGCTAAACAAGCTCCAAGTATATGTGTGTGTATTATGTATATCTAAATTACTGAAGATGGCTGAAACAGAAGCAGTGGCCTAAATTCATTCAAATTTTTAAATAGCGTCAAAAATTATCACTGTTTTAAAATTTATGTATTAAAATAAAAGTGCAATTAGGTTAATGCTAGGGAACAGATGTTAATCCTGACAAAACCCAGCAGTACATGATCTCTGCTCCAGTCTCATGGGGCCTTAAAGGGTCTGAGAGTTCATCTATTCTAGACACATACCGGGTATACTTCCTGGCAGCTGGAAAGGCTCCCACCCAGCTACTTCCCCAGCAACTGCCCTAGCTGCACTCTACCTGGTCCTCAAAAGAACGAATTTCACTGCCTTTCCAGCCCATGAGATTATTCAAACAAGCCAGCTGCATCCTATTGCAGGAATAAGGGGGCACCTCCCTACCCTCTTGCTTACACAGAGCTTGCCACTGTTGGTTCGTCCTGCTCTGTGTGCAGTGTCTGTTACCCTGTGAGCTATGAGCGCATGTGACTAACAAACTGTCTCTCAGTCTCGTGTGTGAATGCCAGGTATCCTGTGCTCAGTCATCTTGCAGGATCTAGGGTGGGAGATGTTTCTGATCAGCTCCTAATCACCTCATTGGTGAAGGAGGCATCTCCCATCCTCGATACAAAGATGTTAAGGCAGCAGTTGAAATTTCAGCCCTTGTATTATGTGAGTGGATTTCAAGGTGAGACCAAGATTAGTTTATATAAAAGGGCAGGAAATTGTTGAACATTTATAATTTTTTCCCTCTAAGTGGGATGGTTGATCTTGAGCCTGCTGGGAGCAAGCTGGCCCCAGACCTCGCCAGTCCACACTTCTGTGCCTCCAATTCAATTCTTACGTGGATCCGGGAACCACGGATGCGCCTTCATAGGAGGAAAACATTTATAACTTCTTTTAAAAAGTTTTATTTATCAACTAGGCTTCTGTTAAACACCTTATGTATATACTCGACCATTCACATATTCATACAACAAAATACCATATCCAAATGGCTGTTAGTGACACCTAAAATTTACCGAATGTTTGGTATCAGTGAATATATAATACGGTTGATTTCTCTAAGTAACATTGTTAACTTATGGAGCAATCTAGTCTGTAAAATTATCTAAAATGAACATCTAATTTAGCTAACATGTAAGTTGGAAAAGAACAAATAGGAAGAGGGGAGTAAGAAGCAAATCAAGAAAAAAGAAGATGATGAAAAGAGGTATAACAGGAAAAGAAGAAAGAGAAAAGGTCACACTCCCTCACCTCTCACCCCAACACCATATCTTCAAATGTAAATACAACACAGAGATCTCACCGGAGACTTTTAACACAGGAATGCTCAAAAATATTACACAGTGCAACTGAGATTACCAAGATTTTAGAAAACTACAATTAATATAGTGAAAATACGAGGATTAAGAACCCACAAGATATAGCTTGAATATATCCATCCAGCTGTCAGAGCCATAGAATAAGCTTTTACCATGAGTTTCAACTTCAGAAAGTATGAACATCAAGCTTTCCCCCGGGAATAACATTTGCCATTCAATGAGCCCTAGGGAAAATGTTTCAGACAGACACTGGCTGTGTCCCTGTCAACATTAGACTGGGCCAGGGACAAATCCAAGCAATTATACTGCATCTTGTAAAATATCCCTTTATTCTTTAGGAAATAAATCATTTTCTATTTATTCATTTTTATTATGATGTATACAGAACTACTTATTCCCTAGAAAATAAATTATAGCCACACTTTCCTCAAATGCTTGTAATGTCCTCTCCATCAGTCCCCAAAGCAGAGTGCTATAAGCTGTTAAGCAGATTCTGGAAATGCTTTTGGATGGGAGGATCGGCAGGTTCTGATGCTTGGAGGTGCAGGGCAGGGCAGGGCACGCATAAATGAATATAATCAGCAAAGCTTTGCTTAAATGATCAATCACTTTGTCTGACTTACAAAGATGAGAAATTTCCAGCACGCTCTAGAATTTGACCTGGGTATCTTAAAGGAAAAGAATTTTATAAATTCAAGTAGAATTACTTTATAAACCTGAATGAAGCAGATAGAAAGCTAATGGGATTTTTTTAAACCAAATTTAGTTTTTTGACTGAAGGTATGCATAAGAAACTGTATTAAATGCCTACATTTCAAAACGGAACTATCAAATTGAGTTGAAGATTAGTTTCTAACATGTGAATACTGTTAAAAGACATTTACCTTTGTTTAGAAATGCAAATTCTCCCAGTCTTAGATGTTACCTGATCTGTTTCTTCTTGCCTCCTATTAAAGCACAGGTCCTATCAGATTCCAGTGTACATTTGTCTTCCTCTCCCTTTCTTAAGATAGTACACTGCAGTCATACTCATCTCTCTCTCTCTCTCCCCTCCCTCAAATCATACTTCACAATATTTTGATGTGCTTTAATTCCATCTACATCTTAAAAATTCTATCTGTATCTTGACCTCACATTCCCCACCCCAAGTATCCACATAATTTCTCTGCTCCACTCTACAAAGATTCTTCAGAGTTTAGACAGTCTCCAGTTCCTCATCTGCTACTCGCTCTTCACCTAATTTCAAATGGCATCTACTCCTACCATGCTACTGATAATGCTCTTATTAGGCTATCATTCAAAATACACTAGATTTTTCTTCAGTAACAAAGACCCAAACAATAACTACAAGAGCTGATTTTTCATGTTGCATGTGCATCACAGATCAGCTATACTGTGATCCACGTGGTCTTCATTCCAGGAGCCAGGCTGGCGGAGCATCCTCTCCCTGGGACATTGCTTATGCCATGCTATAGAAAAAAGGGTAGTGACGTCTGCGCTAGATCAAAGTGGCTCATGTCAATTCTGGTCAAGGTAAGCCCATAGCTATTCATGACTTTAACAAGGAGAGGCAGGAAATATTGGAGAAGAAAGTACCTTTAGGGCACACTGAGTTTGAATTTTATTCTAAATGCAGTGGAAAGCCCTTCACTCTCCACTTTCCGGTAGGATTCCTTCTCTCCCAATCCCGATATATGGCAAGATCTTTTCTGACTCAGGGACTTTGTAAATGCTGATCTTTCTCCTGATCGCCCTTGTCTTCCTCATTGCCCTTCTCTTCATCTTGCTAACTGCTACTTACCAGCAGATGGCTAACTGCCATCTGACCCAGAGATCACTTCATTAAGAAATCTTTCTTGGGAACCCAAACTGGTATTATTTCCACTCTTCAAAAGTACCACATTTTCTTGCATCACACTCTAACAACTAGGTATTGCATTAATTTCCTACAGATGCTATAACAAAGTGCCACACACTGGACTTAAAATAAAAGAAATTTATTCCCTCACAGATAGGAGGCCTAGGAGTCTAAGATCAAAGTGTTGAAAGGGCCATGGCCGCATTGAGAGTGCTATCAGGAGAGATTCTCTTGCTTCTTCTTACTTGGGGTTGCTAATAATCTTTGGCATTTTTTGGCTTACAGATGTATCGCTTCATTCTCTGGCTCTGTCTTCCTTGTGTCTCACATTGTCTTCTATCTGTGCATGTCCTTGTGGCCAAACTTCCATATATAAATGGACACCAGTCGCTGAATTAGGGCCTGCCATATTCAGTATGACCTTATCTTAACTTGATTACATTTGCAAACACTATTTTTTCATAAGATCACATTCACAGGTTCTGGGGACACATACATTTTTAGGGGAGGAGTATTATTCAATTTAGTACAAATATGTATCCATGTGTATTTCTTGTTTCACATATACTAGGCACATTGCATATTTTGTGATACATTATACAATGGCACCTCAGTACTTGTTGCTAATTCCTTCCATAAATCATAACAAGGGCCAAAACTGACAATACTGAACACTGAAGCATTTTCTCTTGCAGGATAGCATTGTGACTCATGCAAATTCTAGTAAGTAAGATGAGTCCTGAGCAAACACCTAGTGCTGAAACATTTTTTCACCTCAAAATGGGATGAGTACAGGCTTCTGAAGCCAATGAGTACTGAGGTATGACTGTATTTGTTCAATTAACATTAATAGAGTAAATTCATGAACATCTAAATTGGTAGCTTAGAAAAATTAAAGAGCATTTTGAAAAGACAAGATGATATAACCACTACCACGATTAAGATATATATAATTTGCATCACTCCACAATATTTTCTCATGCTCTTTTGCAGTAAAGCTCCTCAAAATCTACCCTCACCACAGCTACAGACAACCATCGACCTGTTCTCTGTCACTGTAAACCAACTCTGCCTCATCTAGACCTTCATATGAATATAATAATAAAATATGCATGGTTTTATATCTTGCTTCAAGGCACTCAGAATATCATTTCAGAGATTGATATTGTATCAGTAGCCTATCCTTTTCATTGCTGATTAGTTTTCTTTATACACATATACCAAAATTCACTTATTCATCCATTTTTTGATGAACAAACATTAAGATTGCTCCCAGTTTTTTAGCTATTAGAAATAAAGCTTCTGGGAACTTTTTATATTATACAAGTCTTTCTATGTATACATATATATGTATATATGTTTTTAAAAATTATTCTTGAGTAAATGCCTATGAGTAGAATTGATGAACCATAACGATTTCTTATGTTTAATATTTTAAGAAACTGTCCAATAACTTCCCAAAGTGGTTGCAACACTTCACTCCCTGAGGAATGTGTGAGAGTTCCAGTTTGCTCCACATCTTCACCAGCACTTTGTTTTGCAGTCTTTTTAACTTTAGCTATTCTTGTGGGTATGCAGTAGAATCTCCTTGTGGGTTCGGTTTATATTTCCCTAATGATTACTGATGTTGAGCACTGGGTCCTTTAACTTACTGAATTGTAAAAGCCCATTATATACTCTACGTACCAATTAAAACATTTCCTCACAATCTGTTAGCTTGCCTTTTTATATTTGTAAGTCTTTTAAAGAATATGTTTATTAATTTTGGTAGAATCTAATGCATTAATTTTGTTATTGATGATTCATGCTTTTTGACTCCTATGAAAAGATGAAGACTTTATCCTACATTTACTTCTAGAATTACAAGTTTTGCTTTTACCTAAGTCTTTAATTCATTTTAAGTTTATCTGTATAAGGAGAATAGTTCACTTTTTTATCCCATTTGTTTTAATGACTATCCTTCCTCTAAATTTCTTTGGTACTCTAGTTAAATAGCTTTAGATCATATGTGTCTCTATATTTTTATGGACACTCCACCTGGTTATTTTTCTATGTGTCTTTTCTTATACCAATAGTACCTGTCTTGATTTTCTGTGGTTTATGATAAATCTTAAAATCAGATAGTATACATTTTCCAAATTTCTTCCTTTTAAAAAATTTTGTTTTAGATTTTGTGTAGCCTTTTTAATTTTAAAAATTGCCTGCTAATTTCTAACACAAAAAAAGTTCACTGATATTCTGCCTAAGATTCTTTTGTATACATATATCAATGTGGAACAATTTACATCTTTAAAATTTCATTTTTCTAATTCATGAACAGAGTCTCTTTCCGCTTACTTAGATCCTTAATTTCTTTCAGTCATATATCATGGTTTTCAGTATATAGAATTTGAATATATATTTTATCTCCAAATATTTTATATTTTGATACCCATGTAAATGGCTTTTTATTCATTTTTCAATTGTTTCCTTCATATATATATATATATATATAGTTTTTGAAATCAATTTTTGTATGCTGACCATGTATCCTACAACTTGTCTAAATTCACATCTTAGCTCTTGCAGCATTTTTGTAGATTCCATTGGATTTTATATATTTATATAAACATGCTCTCTGGGAATAAATATATTTTATTTCTTATTAAATCTGTTATTCATTTATTTTTCTTTCATTATAACACTAGATAGAATATCTA